CACTGGGATTCTGGGCTGAGATTTGGGGGGTTTATCATTTAAAAAGACTACAGGACTTAAAAACTTAGTTTTGTTTCCTGCCTGTGTCTTCATATTCTAATTTAACAGCATCCTCCATCGAGCAGATCTCACAGGATCTTTCATATTTAAATTAAAAGTTATATTCCTCAGTTTAAAAATATGTGGAAGTCATTATCATCTCACTTAAAAAGATCTATTAATCCAATTTCCTATAGTCGCCATTATCTTTTCTTTGTCCAAAATTCTCTCATAAAAGTTTCTATACTTGGCATTATAATTTCATATTTGTTCCTGCACGTTACTGAAAGTCCAAAGATTCAATAACTTCATCACTATCAAAAAGGCTTTCAAAATAGTTTTGTATCAGTGCTAATTTTCCTTGACCATTTAAAGCATTCTTCATTTTTAAACTAGTCTTTTCCCTTAGCCTAAGTGATAATAAAGCATAAAGCATCTCTTTGTTTTTCTCCTACTTCCTGGGATCAGTACTCTTCTCTTCTCACCAGTTTCACTGCTTTCCACCTACAAAATGAGACTGTGACTGAAGGCTGAGTCCTTAGCTTTCAGTCTACATTGTTCCTTAAATTTTCCTGTGACACCTTAGTTTCAAGTATAACCACAACCAAATACAGTGATCCCTCACCTATCGAGGCAGTTACATTCCAGAGACCCCCGCGATAGGTGAAAATCTGTGAAGTAGCAGCATTATATTTATTTTATTATTTATATATATTTTAAGGCTTTATAAACCCTTCCTACACTCCTATAAACTTTTCCCACTTTCTTATTAACCTTTCCCACACTCTTATAAACACTTCATAATCTCATAAACACTTTCTACACTCTTAAACCTACGTAATTTTAACAACATATAAAATTCTATATGGGTACTCACCAGTGAAGTATACAGTCGTCCCCCACTATATTGTGGTTCACTTATCATGACTTCACTGTATCTCGGGTTTTAAAAAGCCTGTGATACAGTGAAGCTGCAAATAAGTGAACAACGATATAGCGAGGGACAACTGTACCCAATGGATTTACATCTTAGACCCAGAACAGAATTTCTGAATTTTAGTTCATTTCCAAATTCCGGTTGATATCTCTACATCAATATCCTGCCTCAGATAAACCTGTCCAAACTTTCTACCAAAACCATTTAAATGTCACCATTTCTGGTCACCATTGCCCAGTTTATTTTTCGACCCAGTTATTCCAGTTCAAAATACTAGAGGACTATTTCCTTAGTTATCCTCCCACATTCAATCAGTTTTTAAAAAATCGTGTCAAATCTTTGTATTCTCTATGCTTTGTGGTGTAACATAGACTGTAGCACTGTAAAACCAAGACAGACTTGAAATCCTAGCTTCATAACTGACTAGACTGATATTGGATAAGTTCCTAAAACTTCATTTTCTTCTTTGAAATAAGAGTTAATACCTTCCCAAGTCAAAGAATTTAATAATGAACAAATAAGGTATTTTGCAGAAAGTCAGCCCCATCCTCCCTAGGTTCACCTTTATTCCTATGTTATTGCTTTCTTTATTTTCTTTAGAAATTAATGCCATCTGGGTTTCTATGGTTGTTATATTTTGGGGGAAGGGGTAGGGAGGTGGCTTACACATTTATTTCCTGTGCCTTACCACTAAACTTAATAAAAGTAGGACCTTTGTCAGTATTATTTACTATTGAGTCCAGAATAATCTCTCTGACATATTAGGTGCTCAATGTATACTTGATCAAGGAATGAATAAATAAAATATCTAAAGTGCTTACCACAATGGCATTTACTGAGTGTCTGTCCTCTACATTGTCTTCTTTCTTCTTTGCCACTGGCTATCTACCTATATCAACCCTAATAACATCATTTCTGACCTACAGTAATTGATCTCTCTGCTCTCATCTGCCCCTTGACCCCTACTAATTTGTTAGCATAATACTGGGTTAATCATCTTTCAGAAAAAACTTTGTCAATACCATTTATTCATAGAGCACCAACTATGACAGAATCAATCTAACTTTCCTACTCAAATACCTTCAATAGATCTTCACTGCATTAATTAAGAAGTGTAAAGTTGTTGGTATGTCATTCAAAGTTGTTTTCAATACTTTCCACTTGAGTTCCCATGGATTCCTTAGACGAACTTCATACATGATTGTCTTTAAAAGGGTTATTTATGCATGTTCCTAAATTTGACTATACCATACAACACAACCAGAATATTTAAATTCTTCTTTTTAGGCCCAGGTTAAATCACTCAGACATAAATACTGTTTTATTTTGTATTTCCCTAATTTTTAAAACTGTTATTACAAAATAATTAATATACTTAAATATTTTTAAATATCAAGAATCATATGCAATTATAAGTCTTTCAACTTCCTAATATCCATAACCGGTGTTCATTGTTTATACACCATTTCAGATGTGATCACCACTTCTGCAATGATTTTCTATTTTTCATCAATTGTTAATGTATTTATTTGAAGATTTATATATACTTAGAAAATATTATAAACACTGCTCTGCAACATACATTACTTCCTACACTTTGTACCTGATTTTTCTAACACTTGAAGAATTAACACTCTTTTGAACTTTTACATAATGTATTTGTTCTAATATTCATATATCATGAAGCATTTTTTCTTATATTTTTATCTATCCACCTTTTATCCTTTTATCTATCCACCAGGGTTTTATAATTTCTAATTAGAAAAAGTTTCCCAATAACTTATTTCAATGTTTGAAAAATCAATAGTGTACTGACTGTGGGGATAAGGGGGAGAGTGGAGGTGAAAGAGGGTATAGTGGGGGTAAATGGTGATAGAAAAAATTAAAATGAAATAAAGCTTTTGGGATGTGGGGAAAAATCAATATAAAATAATGTTATGATCATGTTTATGTCATAAAATTAATATTTTAAGAATTGAATATTTTTATACTCTTCATCAATAATCTAAATTGTGTTTTAAAACACTGAAAAATAAACTATTTTATAATGCATTCATTCAAAAAATGAAAACTTAAAAAAATTAAAAATCCACTTTCAATTAAAAAGACAAATATTTAGAATCAACAAAAAACTTCCAGAACTAGGAAGTTAGAAGGATACAAGATTAAATAAAAACATCAAGTGTATTTATATATATATGTGTGTGTGTGTGTGTGTGTGTGTGTGTATTTACTAGCAACAAAAATCCATATATAAAATTAAGTAAATGATTCTATTTGTAGTAACAAATAAAATTCCTAAAATATTTTAACAAAATAAGTGCAAGACTTGTACAATGAAAACTACAAAGCATTTCTCAGAGAATTGAAGAACACCTAAATAAACTGAGGGACAGTCCACATTTAAGAATGAGAATACTCACTATTTTAAAGATGGCAAGTATCCACAAATTAATCTATAAAATTCAATGGAATCTTTATCATTATTGTAGCAGTAATCATTGTTGAAATTGATAAGGTGATCCTAAAATTCATTTGTAAATACCAGGTGTCCAGAATAGCTAATGCAAGATTTTTAAAAAAGGGCAAAGTTGGGGGACTCAGAATCCCTATTTCAAAACTTAACTACAAATCTACAGTAAGAAGACTGTGTGGTAATATCACAAGAATCGATATATATGCCACTGGAAAAAATTGAGAGTCTAGAAATAAATCCTTATATTTAAGGATTTAAATGCATGGTAAAAAAATTCATAAAATTGAAGCTCATAAAACTCCAAACTTTTCTGCTTCAAAAGAGACCAATACGAAAATGAAAAGACAAGCTACAGATGGGAGAAAATATTCATGATCCATATATCTGATAAAGGACTTATCCAGATGTCTACTCTTACAACTCAAGAAGACAAAAAACCCACTTTAAAAAGGCAGAATAATCTCCATAGCACTTTACCCAAGAAGATAGATGAATAGTTTATAAACAGATGAAAAGATGCTTATCATTACTCATTAGGGAAATAAAAAATTAAATCCACAAATAAAATACCACTTCACACCCACTAAAATGTCTATAGTGCAAAACACAGAAAATACTAAGAGTTTCCAAAGACATAAAGGAACTAGAACAGGACTAGACCAGCGGTTTCCACTTTTTAGAAGGCAATTCAGTTTCTGAACAAGTTAAACATAAAATTATCATGCAGCCCAGCAACTGCACTCCTGAGAATCTACCCAAGTAAAACAAAAACATATGTCTGATACATGCATGTAGGTGTTAATAGCAGCATTATTCATAAGAGCAAAAATTGGAAATAATCCAATGTCATCAGTTGATGAAAAGACAAAAAATATATAGTATATTTATATAATAAAATGTTATTTAGCAATCAAAAGGAACAAACTACTAATTCATGTTACAACATAAATAAGCCTCAAACACATCACACAAACTGAAAGAAGGCAGATGCAAAAGACTACATATGTGTGATTCTTTTATATTAAATGTTTAGAAAAGCAAATTTATGGAGACAGAAAACAGATCAATGTTACCTAGGATTGGGAGGCAGTAGGGATCAACTGCAAATGGGCATGAAGGAAACTGGGAGTGGTGACAACTTCTAACATTGGATTTGGAGATGGTTATATAGCACACTTAACTTATGAAAATCATTAAATCATATATTTAAAATGGGAGAATTTTATCATATGTAAGCTACATATCCTTACAGCTATTAAAACATTATATATATATATATATACACACACACATATAAATACACACACATATATGCATATATTTGTTTCTCTACAATTTAGTACTTTTCTGCTCAATAATTATTTTGTAGTAAATGTACAAACTTTTAAATAAATTTCAGATAGAATACATTATTAATATATTTACTAGTATAAAATATCTTACATAAATGATGCAAATATTAGCTTTACATAATTTAGATACAAATGGACCTTAGAAGCTAAAATTTCATTTCTATAAATTTACTTAAACTCTAATAAAACCATTTACCTTTTTCAAAGCAGGGCAGAAATTAAAGAAAAGCCTGTGGTTATATGTTTTGAATCTTTCAGGAAGATGCCAGTTCTGAATTATTTCTTCATCAGAAATCACATGATGATCCAATGCTTTTAGACTACATATACTGTTGACAAGAGTTTGTCTATATCCTTTGTTAAGGCTTACTGGGCAATCAAACATAGTGAGGGCAACGAGGCTTGGACAGGCAGATAACATGCACACATTCTTCAAGTTTGCAAACCCATTGTCATGGAGATAAAGAAGTTTTAGGTTCTTTAATCTACTCCAGAATTTGTCATCTGGCAGATGCTTTATCTAAAATATTATTAATAATAGTATATTAAATACAAATACAAAATTTCTATTAATTGCATGGAAAGTAAAATATATTCAACATCTAAAATTTAGTATTTTCCCAAATGAAAAATTTCTCATTAATAAAAACAAACATAATTTCTAGTTACCAAAATGATGACTAGTGTAAAAAATATAATAACACTTGACATCTAAAATACACTACCATTTTAGAGTAATTATATGAATAAACATATATACTTCATTCAGGAAAAATTCTTTAGCAATAGGCTGACTCTTTAAACTTCTCTAAAGTAGAGAAGTTTACATACATAATTAAAAGTCAAATCAAACTGATAACATCACACTAATTAAATAAAAAATAAAACCCACACAATCCTCTCAACAGAGGCAGAAAAAGCATTTGACAAATTCTATACCTAGTTATGATAAAAACTATAAAAAGTGGATATAGAAGAAAATACCTTAACATAATAAACCCAAATATGATACAAGCCCATAGTTAATATCATACTCAATGGTGAAAATTTGAAAATTTCTCTAAGATCAGGAACAAGAGAGGAAGCCCACTCCAGCCTCTTTTATTCAACATATTATTAGAAGTCCTAGCCAAGAAATTAAGGAAGAAAAATAAATAAAAGGCATCCAAACTGGAAAGGAAGAAGTAAAGCTGTAACCATATCCAGGTGACACCAAATATTGTTATACAGAAAAAAAAACAAAGTTTCCACCAAAATATTATTAAAACTAATAAATGAATTCAACAAAATTGCAGAATACAGAATCAGTATGTAAAAATTTGTTGTCTCTCCATACACTGATAACAAACTATCATAACAAAAATTTTTTAAAATCCTATTTATGGATTTTTACACCAAAAAAAAATACCTATGAATAGTTTTAACCAAGAAGGTGAAATACCTTTACACTGAAAACTATAAGACATTATAATATAAAAGAATTAAAGAAGATATAAATGAATGAAAATATATTCCATATTCAAAGACTGAGAGAATATTATTCAAAATATCCATACTAGCCAAAGCATTCTATAGAATCCATGCAATCCCTATCAAAAATTCCTGTGGCATTTTCACAGAAATAAAACAATCCTAAAATCTGAAAGAAACCTAAACAGCCAAAGAAATTTAGAGAGAAGAAAGCTTGAAACAACATGTTCCCTCATTTCAAACTACATTTGAAAGCTATAGTAATCATTCAGTGTGGTATTGGTATTAAGCCAGACACATAGTTCAGTGGAACAGAACACAGAGCTCAGAAATAAATGCACATATATATAGTCATTTGATTTGCAACAAAGGAGCCAAGAATATACAAGATGGAAAGGACAGTCTCATCAATAAACAATGCTGGGAAAACTGGACAGACACATACCAAAGAATAAAACTTGGAACAATATCACATATTACATACAAAAATGGAATAAAGCCTTGAATGTAAGACCTGGAACCATAAAAATTCTAGCAGAAAAGATAGGCAGAGAGCTCCCTGAAATAGTTCTTAGTGATGTTGGTGATACATATTTTTAATAAAAAAACAAGAAAAAAGGCTACAAAAGCAAAAAATAAACAAGTGGAATGACATAAAAATTAAAAGCTCTTCATAGCAAAGGAAACCATCACTAAAATGCAATTGCAACTGATCAAATAGAAGAAAACATTTGAAAATTATACGTCTGCTGTGTAACAATGTGGTGACAAATGTTAAGTGGAATATTGCAGTGATCATTTCACAATATGGACAAATATTGAGTCACTCTGTTGTACACATGAAACTAATATAATGTTATAGATAAGTTATATGTCATCTAAAAAATAATTAAGAAGTATTCTTAATCCAGACTGTGGATTTAAGAAATAAAAAAAATCACAGTTTATTTATATGTTTTTCATTTAAAATATTTGCTTATATTTGAAATTTTGTTTCTACATTTTGTATTTTATTTAAGTTTTTGTTTATATTTTATATGAAAGTCTATCTGTGAGATATATTGTAAATAGATAGTGCTTATTAAACATAATTTCATTTATATGAAAATATCTGAAATGGCTATTGCTTACCTGATTTCCATGGAGATCAAGTTTGACTAATTTTATACAACTCTGAAGTGCACTGATATCTGTAATAAAATTGTTTGAGAATATGCATACTCTAAGAGAAATACAAGACTGCAAATTTTCCATAGATTTTAAATGAAGACCATTGAACTTCACAAAAACAAAATCTTTCTGATCTTCTATTATGTTTTGATTATAGTGACTCCATTCTTCATGACTGATTAGCTCTTCTGTGATAGTTCCATGAAACATCTAGAAAAAATGGTAAATTTCTTTCAAAAGTTTTTTGAACTTCCAAAAATAACCCTATATGAAAACAAAACATTTGCTAATAGATAGTAAGAGTAAAAATGGGTAGAAAATAAGTTAATTTTTTTAAAAAATCTAATTCCCATAAGATCTATCTCAGGGCATCTTAAATGTCTAACATTTATATAACAACTCAAAAATATATTGTTGTTTTCACCAATAAACTAACCAATAAGAGGAAGAAATACTTCCTTTTTCCCAAAATACTTAGAGAAAATGGAATTCAGTGAAATAGTTGATACAAAAACATCACATCTTAACAAGACATCTAAAACAAACAAGGAAAAGTACACCTTAGCATACCTTGTATAATATTTTTTGTTAAAAGATCTTTTAAATAAAGAAGTGTTTTGAATTACTAACTCTTACGTCAGGAAAGTGGTACTTTTTGTTGGAGGGACTTAAAAATGCAGCTAAGTAAAATTAAGGTGCAATGCAGGACTTCAACTGTAACAAATATCTATTTTCTAAAGAGATAATTAGCAATCTCATTATACATGGTGGGGCAAAAGTAGGTTTACAGTTGTTCATTTGGAAAATAATACAATAATTAATAAATAATGATGAGAATAAACTCTTTTGCTTTCTCAAAACTGTAAACCTACTTTGACCCATGCTATATTTAATTCTATTAAGCAATTAAAACCTAGAATTCTAATTGTTTCAAATTTGACCAAGTTTATCTAAACTTCTGGCTCAGTGCTTTTTGATGTAATTTTATATAGTATTTATTATATATATGAAATTTCCCTTACCGTGGGTAATTTCAGCTTTCATTAAAGGCAGTCAGTAACCAAGTGATAATTTAGAAGAGAATATGTGAGCTCAAGTGACCAATCTGAGTGTTTGGTTAAAATTAACCACTCCCCCCCTGGAAAAATCTATTTTTACCATGTGGAGGCAAACTGGGTCAGCATAATCCAAATGAGAATCTATGTGAAAATCCAGGTAGAACCTTGCACTCTATAAATGGCTGGCTACTTTTCACATACTAGCCAAGGGCTAGAACTATAATCCTCAAACTCTAAATATCAATCACTTAAAAAATAATAAAGGCAGATTTCCTGGGTCTTACATCACATCTACTTTATCAGAGGCTTTGGACTGTGGACCAAGGAATTTATACTCCTTCATACTCCACCTTAAACACAAAATTTTCCTATTAACACATTGCATTAGTGTGGTAGAATTGTTATAAGACATCCAATTTTATAAAAAAAAGTAAATCATGGGATGTAATGTACAGCTTGGTGCTACAGTTAACAATAATGTACTGAATATTTTAACATATTTAAGAAAGTAAATCTTAAAAATTCTCATGACAACAAAAAATAATTTTGTAACTATATATGGTGACAGATGTGAACTAGAATTTTTGTTGTGATATGCAAATATTAATCATTATGTTGCATGTATAAAATTAATATAATGTCAGTTATACTGTAATAAAATGTATAATATAAGAAATAACATGGATATGAAAAAGATGATGCTACATAGGAATTCATTGAATATGGTATATAATAGCAAAAATATGATATGTCCTAAATGTCTTAAAAGGTGGTATTAACTAAATGAAATATTGTAATGTAGTCAATGGAAGCATTTCACACTATGAAAGCATCAAAGCTGATCATGTAGAATGCAGCAATATGAAGAAGTTTTGACAAACAAGTTATTGTTTTTGTCTTAAAATATTTTTTCACTGAATTTACACTTTAAAAAGGTGACTTTTATGGCATATGAATGTGAATTAAGCTTCAATTAAAATATTTATTCTTCAGTGGGACACATTTAAAAAAAAGTAAACAATAAAAAGTAAAGCGATGTAAAAAGACATACCATGCCAGCACCAATCTGAAAAAAGCTGCTGAAGCTATAGTGTTTCAAACAGAGCAGACTTCAGAGCAAGGAAAATAATCAAGGGTAAAGAGGTGCATTACAAAATGATAACAAGGGACAACTTTACAAGAGGCTTAACAGTCCTTAATCTGTATGTGTTTAAACATAGCATCAAAACACCTGATGTAAAACAGAAAATTAGAAAGAAGAACAAGATGAATCCTCTACTATAATTCGAGACTTGCACATCCTGCTATCAGAAATGGATGCATCCAGCAGGCAGAAAATCGGTAAGGAGATAGCTGATGTCCACAGCACCATTAGCCAAGTGGATAACTGATAACTATTACTCCATTCAACACCAGTAGATTATACATTATTCTCAAGTCAGATAGACCACATTCTGGGCCATAAAATATATCTTAAAAAATTTATAAGAAGAGATACCATACAGTGTTCTTTCATACCACAGTGGAATTAGAGTAGATATCAATAATAGAAAGATAGTTGGAAAATCCCAAAATACATTAAGATTAAAATACATACTTCTAAATAACATGTGGGTCAAGGAAGAAATTACAAGAGAAATTTTAAAATATTTTGAACTAAATGAAAATTCACCTTTTCAAAATGTGTGCCATGCAGTGAAAGCAGTACTTAAAAGGTAATTTATAGCATTGAATTAATATATTAGAAAAGATGTAAAATCAATAATCTAAGGTTGTACCTTAGGAAACTGGATAAAGTACAAATTAAATCCAAAGGAAGCAGAAGAAAAGTAAATGAATACATTTTCAATAAATATACTGGTAAAAAGTTATAACCCTCAATAATATTATCACATATTTGAGATGGGGACATATTTTGTCATTACTTCATTCCAGAAGTCTCTATGAATACCTGATTCTATGAAAATGAATATAATCAGATCATATGAAGGACATTTGTGATAAAAACAATAAATTCTTCATTTGTCTTTCAGACCTTTAGGGAGGGGTGATATGTCACCACTCTTTCTGGCTGCTTTTATCATATCATAAGAAACCTTACCCCCAAGTGTATTTCTTCCTTATCTGTAGGGTCATTCAGAGTGAATTTAATGCTTAAACACTGAATCTCATCTCAGACTCCTGCAAATATGTTTTTGAGTTCTGATTAACTTATTTTTTTCATATATTTTAACTTTTAAACTATTCTCAAAGTTTTTAGTTGGAGTAACATGAATTCTAAAATATGCACTCTTACAATGAATTAATCTCATATACTAGGCTAATTCATATTATGTTCTCTACTGCATCAATGTTCACTTCCACCAATGGTATTTATTTGCCATTATATAAACAATGATTATACTTTTCAAATTCCAGAATAGAACATTGTTATATAATATTGAGTTGCTGCTATCCAAAGAAAGATGAACATATGATTAGTAAGTACATAAAAAATGTAGTAGATCATTTCTCCACTTCTTTAAGAACTAGTATTCCACATTCACAATATAAAGTATGACTCAGTTATTCAGACTATTCAGTTAAATAGTCTGTCACATATCCCAATCATTTTAGGTAAGTGAAATGTTTCATATATTGTTTTATACTACCTCATGCAACATTAACTTTGTTTCTCATTTTTATTGCACATCAGAATAACTACAATAACACAAATTCTCAGGCTTCATGTCATACATACCTACTGAATTTTATCTCTGCAGCTATGGGGCCAAATAATTATACTGCCCACCAAGGGAAGATAAAAACCATTGCATTTGGTGTCTTCTCCTCTACCTATTTCAAAGCCTGTTTTCCAATTGCTTCCAAATTTAATTTATTAAAGATTTTATTTATTTATTTTTAGAGAGCAGAAGGGAGGGTGAAAGAGAGGGAGAGAAACATCAATGTATGTTTGCCTCTCACACGCCCCTTACCAGGTATCTAACCCACAACCAAGGTATGTACCCTAGACTGGGAGCCAGTGACTCTTTGGTTCGCAGGTCAGCACTCAATCCACTGAGCCACATCAGCCAGATCAATGGCTTTCAAACTGTAAACAATTGGCCATTAAAGGAAATCCAGGTACTTTTGCTTCTTTTAGAATTTGATAATTTTACAATTCTTTTGTGAAATGTTCATGTGACTGTGTACAACATCAAGTTTAAATAATAATATAATATTCAAAAGGCAAAATACTCAAAGGCATTTAGTTTAAGTACAGCAACACATTAGAGAAAGCATCAGGGTTCAATTACAGCTTCAAATAAGTTCCGTAATTTAAAAAAGTCAGTATCATTGTCAGTAAATCTTTCATTAGCAAATGTGTCAACTGAAGTACTACTTAATTTAAAATTATCATACATTTTTAATTACCCTGTGAAAACCAAGTTTTTCTAAAATACACTGTATATCAATTCCAAGTATCATCTTTATTTCCAATGTATGCCATTTAAAAAAGTCATGGCAAATACATAAAAGGGAACTATACAAGGTTATAATTAATGAAAAACTAAATTAAATATTGAAAAGTAAAGCATCTTTATTCTGTTTTTATTTTCATTACAAATTAATATATAATTAATATAAAAAGGTATTTTCAAAGAAATACTTTGCTGATTATGTCAATGATCTCTATACATCACACTCATTCACTGAAATTTTACATACTTAAGAATAGCAATACCATACTATATTAAGTTAAAAGCATATTAAAATATAATGTTAGGCTTGATGGTCTATCTGTGTTTCAGTAACTCATTTTGAAAGCACTAAATGGAATGGAATTTTGGACCCTGCACACCAAAATTATCACAATAGCTACTGAGATACTTCATATAAAATAAAATCATGAAAAGGGCATAAAAATAAAGTTTATTTTCAACTATCTAACTTTAAGAATTATAAATAATAATATTTTTGTTTTAATTTAGAATGTACAATAAATTTAAGACCATCATAAACATAGCAATTATATCTTACAAATACTTTTTATTTGGTCAACAGATTTGTTGAATCAATCCTGTTTGGATAAAAACTTGATTTTTTATTACACACATTTCCTTTAAAAATGAAGAAGAGGGATACTTCTGGCAAGTGAAAATAAAGTCTCACAGGTTTATAAGTTAATATAAATGACCTTGATTCTTTGAAACATTATACTTTTATCACATATTCCACATGTTTTCAAGTAACATGAAAAGTCTTTTGGAATAAGAACTCAAAATTCACTTATAATCAAGATATTTTATTTTTTCCTGTTTAAATATATTCATTTTCCAAAATTTAGAAGGCTACATGTTTGTTTTACTAAAGCTTTTTCAAAAATACCAGTTTTCAACTTTTATTTTTAATACACATATGTAGACTATAAAAACATAAGCCAGACAAAATTAAAAGTTGATGAGCCAGAAGATGGATATACAACAATGAAAAGTACTCAAAACATCCAGAAAAACATCTGCACAGAAATCACAACCTCTTAATAAGAAAAATTTAGAACAGCAAGCATTTGTTTCTTCTAACCTAAACAACAATGGTTAATACTCCTAAAACAGACATTCTAAAGTTATATTGTTAATATATTTTTATTAAAAGTAATAAACTGTATTTACTTATTGGTTATCCTAATTTATATTTTTCACCTTCTACAAATAAAGTCTCATGCTTATCTTGTGACAAGTATATTATATTTGTTATTGTATAGTCCATTCCAGATACCCTGCAAAAAAGTAAGGAAGCTTCAGGAAATAAAAGATAAAACTACTTCATGAAAAACAGCCAGAAGAAAGACCTTTTCTACAAAAAAAAATAAATAAATAAGAATTAGAGCCCTGGCTGGCATAGCTCAGTGAATTGAGCATGGACTGTGAACCAAAGCATCGCAAGTTCGATTCCCAGTCAGGGTACATGCCTAGGTTGCAGGCCACACCCCCCAGCAACCACACATCGATGTCTCTCTCTCTCTCTATCTCCCTCCCTTCCCTCTGTAAAAATAAATAAATAAAATCTTAAAAAAAAAAAGGAATTAGAGCTGATTCTAATTATGCTCTAATTGTAGGAAACCATCCAAGTGGGAAGACGGTGAGTGAAATAAAGTGTTGAGACAAAAAAAACCAAAAAATTCTGTACCCTGTGAAATAACCCTTCTTGGTGATGGACAAATAAAGACTCGGGCAGACAAACACTGAGAGCACTCATTGTTGGCAGACCTGCCTTGTAAGAACTGTTAAAAGAATTCTTTAGAGGAAAGGAATAAAATACAGTTCATATACTCAGCTCCACAAAAAAGTGAAGAAGAGCAATGGTTAAAAAATAAGTGTAGGTAAAATGAAAGTATTTTCTTTTTTTATTCCTAATTGATTTACCAACATAAAACTAGTCAAAATACCAATAGCAAACAATGTATGTAATTACCTATGCTCATGTATCACATATACATACATATGGATGCTTACATATGTAAAATTAAAGACAGCAATTATATATGAGATGGAAGAGAGGAAATAGATTTATTTTCTTAATATAATATACTTACACTACCTGGGAATGGATATAATGTTATTTATATAAATGAAACTTAATTAGTTGTAAATGTGTACAGCAAACTTTAAGACAGTTAAGAAGATAAAATAAGAACTATAGCGCATATGCTAAGAAAGGATATATAAAACGGAATAACATCCAATGTTCAATTAAAACTAGAAAAAGTAGAAAAAGAGCAGAAGACAAAAATAATTACAAAAGAACAATGGCAACAAATAGAAAACTGTGGAAAGCAGGACAAATAATATTCCAACTGTATAAATAATTAGTATGAACATCAATGGTGTACATGCACCAGTTAAAAGAGATGTCATCAAAGGAAACAGAGAAAAAAAAGATCCAATTATATGTTGTCCACAAGAAATTCACTTTAAATATAAAGGCATTGAAATAAAGTGATGGAGAAAGATACACTATAGTAACACTAGTAAAAAGAAATCAGGAAAAGTCATACTAACTTCAGAAAGAACATACTTTAAAGCAAGGAATGTAATCAAGGACAAAGGCATTGTGGAATGATAACAAGATCATTTCTTCAAGAAGACATAACAATCAATAAAGTTTATGCACCTAACAACAGAGGTAAAAGTATATGAAGCAAAACTGATAGAACTGCAAGAAGAAGCAGATGAATCAACTTTCATAACTGGAGACTTCAATACCCCTCTATCTAAAATGGACAAATGCAGCAGACAGAAAATCAGTAGGGACATAGTTGACTCAACAACACCATGAATCAAATGGGTATAATTGAAATATACAAACTACTTCATGCAATAACAACAACATACACATTCATTAAAAGCTCACATGAAACATTTGCCAAAATACACCAAATTCTGGGCTATCTTATCAAACTCAAAAAAATAAAAATCATACATCGTCTTCCTCAAATCACGATGGAATTAAACTAGACACCAATAACAGAAAGATAGCTGGAAAGTCCCAAAAGATGTGGAAATAATACATTTCTGAATAATACATGTACTAAAAAGGATCTCAATATAAATTTTAAAATACTGTTAACTAAATAAAAATAAAACACATGTAGGATGCAGCAAAAGCAGTGCTTAAAGGAAAATTTATATCATTAAAGGCATATGTTACAAAATAAGAAATATCTAAAAGCAATAATTTAAATTTTCTACCTTAAGAGACTAGAAAAAAAGAGTAAATTAAATCCAAAGTAAGCAGAAGAAAATAA